ATCTCCTTGCTCCTGTTCTGCCACCTTTTCAACTCAGCTGGTACTCGTGGAACGAGTTAATGTGTTATTGCAGCATTAGAGATATTAATTAGCTGCAAAAAAATCAACTTGGTGTGGTTGCTGTGGTGAAAGATTGTTTTTCTCTACTTCAAAATCAATTTAGATTTTAAAATGTAAAATGTCCTTTTTTTAATTTAAAAATTCAGTGTATAACATAGATGCATAAACACCTGCATTTTATTTCAGTGTTAAATGCTGTTTAAAGTAACACATTATGATTAAAAATGTCTCTGGACCTTTACTGATTGTTGATTTTCTTTATTCGGACCCCGCTGATTTTTAATTGGTTCTACAGGTCAGTTAAAGTCCAGACACTTTCAGAAGCACAGAACATCAACTTTTCACCAATACTTTTTGTATTATGCTAAGGTCACTGTAACCCTTCCAACAACTTTGGGAATCTAACTGTACGTAACTAGACATATTGCAGTGAGAGAACTGCTGATATTTCAAATGAAATGGACAAGGGAAATACTGTGAAATGCAGTGCTTCTTATTTTCCATGCTGTGGGGACAGGAAAATATGCAAAGATACCAAGATTTCACAAAACTTTGGTATAGAACAAACACATATAAGCAACACAGCAACCTTTTGAACCATTTCTCTTTTGGCTGTCTCCCTTTCTGCCCACCTGAAAAGAACTACTAAATAAAGTATTTCTGTGAATGGGTTGGTGTCATTTACTAAAAACCTTTAACCACAAAAGTCAGAAAGGTGAATGTGTCTGAAACAGAGGCGCCAGTCAAGGAAAATCCTTTTTATAAAGTATCCTTCTTTGATGAGAATGAAAAACTTAGTGTTGATACCCCAGCTCTCTCAACCAAGAAAAAATATGCTGGTTTCCAAAAATCAAAACTTATTGTTCTGTCTCCCTGCTTTCACAACAGGGTTGATTTAAGGTTCCATCAAAATGATTTCAGGCCCCACCAGATTCATCAGCCATGTCTGAGACATAAAATCATAATATGAGCTCTTTGTAACAATAACATCAAACAAAATATATTTGAGATGACAAACTGGGGAAAGCAAATGTAATGGGATACTTCTAAAAGGTTACTGACACGCTTACAAACCTGTACTGTTTTTTATTTTGACGGGTGTATGAACAGAAAGTCTTTGAGCTGCTGACACTTGAAGCACTGTAAAAAATTGAAATCTAAATAAGTCAATTTTTCTTAAAATAAATGCATTTTTTCATGAATTTAGGAGGAACGTTAGACACTTAGCCAATGGAACAACACAGAAAAATGTATGCAACTGCTTTTGGCATTTACTTAATCATATTTAGTTACTTTAATAAAATTTTTTTATGTCCTACCCTGCTAACAATTGTATTGAATTAGTAATAATAATAGTAATAATAATAAGTAAATGCAAAATGCCAAATGCATAATGTTTTTCAGTGAAGACAATTTACATTTAAAATAAGAAAAAGCAACGACATTGTCTTATTTGAAGTGCATATTATCTATTTATTTTATAGTAAAAATACTCACTCTATTGGCAAACCATCTTATTTACCTACTCAAATTAGGGGAACTACAGTTAATCTAAGACATTTTTACTTACAGTAGTAGCCATTCAAAATGTCCCTACTTTCGTTGATGGGTCCTTGGCTGGTCCCCTACAATTCCTTTTTAAACATCAATATTTTTACCAAGATATCTTTTCATGATTTGTGGACATTAAGATCTAAAGAGAAGCATCATCTCCTGGTCAGACTCTGTAATTCAGTGAAAGGATGGAGTCAGAGTAAAAATAAGCAAGAAGGGGTCACTGCAGTGGCTGGAAGTTTGGAGGGAAGTGGGCTGCCATTCGGCTGCCGTTTGACTGGGAAGGGCCGTTTTGAATGTCTGCTACTGTATTTTTAGATTGTTTTTGCAGTTCATACGGTTTTCAAGCATCGATGCTTGCATTGCATTGCAGGTCATAGGTTTTAACAACAGAGAAACACGGTAGGGCCAGGGAACGTGTAACAAAATGGCAGCAATACACACTTTTCTGGCTGAAAAACTATTTTTATTTGCTTAAACTTGGAAAAAAATTATTACACAATACACAATAATTGACTGCTCAGTAGTGTAGTGAGTGGCACTGCTGCCTTGCAGCAAGAAGTTTCTGGGTTCGATTCCCGGCTCGGGGTCTTTCTGCATGGATTTTGCATGTTCTGCCTGAGCATGCGTTGCTTCTCTCCGGATACTCCGGCTTCCTCCTACAGTCCGAAAACATGACTTTTAGGTTAATTGGCTTCTCTAAAGTCCCCTGATGTGTATGTGTGTGCGTGAATGGTTCTTTGTCCTGTTTGTCTCTGTGTTGCCCTGTAATAGACTGCCGACCTGTCCAGGGTGGACCCCGCCTCTCGCCCGTAGACAGCTGGAGATAGGCACCAGCACCCCTCGCGATCCCACTTGGTACTAAGCGTGTTAGAAAATGGATGGCTGGATAGATACACAATAATTACAATAAGTCAGTTCAGAAAAGCAGGCTTGTTGTAATATTTAACATTATTGAATGTGTGGCTGTTATTTAAACCTTTAAAGTTTCTGGTTATTTCAATAGGTGGAAGTTCTGGTAACTTTTGCATTTTTTTGTTTTGAAATGCAGAAAAAAAGAAACACTTTTAGAGTACACTTTTGATAAAAACCTCCAGGTTTTCTCGGTGCACAATTTTAACAATACATAATGCTGCTAAAGAGATGCTGCCAAAGTAAACAACATTGTACGATCTTTACAAAGGTATGTCAGGGGTTTCAAACCCCTGCTGTTACTGTCCGCTAAAGAAAAAGACTGCAATAAAGACACAGAGACAAATAAACCCCCTGAGGGACAATAAGCTCTGAATAAAAAGTATGACTCCTTTCCCCAAAGATAAAAGATGTTAGTGAAATTGAAGGTCAGACCAAATCAAACAAATATTATTGGTTCAATTTTAACTGTATTGTCACATCCTAATTTATCAGTTGCTTTAGATAAAAGCATCTGACATTTTCTAAATGGCAGATATCTCCTGTTTACCTCCAGACAGAGCGTGATGAATGGCAGCAGTTCCAGGCAGACTTTCAGGTGGCCGTGTCGGTGGCTGACCGCCTAAAAGCCGAGGCAGAAGAAGAGCTCACAGCATTACGAACGGCCCACAAGGAAATCGAGATGGAGCTGGCTGCAGCTCAGCAGAGACAGAAGGAGGCTGAAAATCAGCTTCTCACCCTACAAGGAGAGCTCAAAGAAACCAGGCAAAAATTGGCAACTTTTACTGACGCTCAATATAAAACTGATGTCCATGTTCGAGAGGAGCTAAAGGGGTCCAATGCAGAAATTATTATGTCTGAAAGCAAGGAGAGCACCAATAGGGGCAGGTTAAGGGGATTGTACAAGCTTGGAGGCGAAAGGATGGAAAGTAAGAGTCAGAATCAAGTAACTAAGAATGTTTTTGAGAATAATTCAAAAGTGGACTTCAAAGGTTTTACCAGACATTCCCTGAAAAATGTGACCAATGAGGACAGAGCAGATGTCCAGCCCAATGAATCCCAAAGGGTGAGAACTTCAGAGAGGTCAAGGTGAGAGAAATCATCCAGCCCTTAGATCTGTTAAAAATGCAAATTAAATATATGTATTTTTTGTAGTTGATGTGATTTTTAAAGTTTTTAAGTAAAGTTTCTGCATCCAATTTATTTATTTTTTTTTGCACACAAAGATGAGTACCAATTACAGAGTCCTGGAACGCTGTTGTGAATTTACAGTACCTCCAGACTCTAATCTGGCCATATGAGGACAGCCTCAGGAAAATAACTCAAAGCTGAAGCAGAGTATAAAAACAGTTGGTTGTTATGTCCTGTTATGTTTCAGAAGCCTGTCTAGATTGCCCGCTTCTTCTGACACTGATCCCATACGAAACGATGCATCCCAAACTAACCTTCCTTCAACAGTGGGGTCAACAAACAAGGTGAGACCCTGTTTTTTCAGAAAAGCTACTTCAATTATGTTGTTTAATTAACAGTTAAATTCTATCCATGCTGTCAGTTACAGTAACCTTATTTTTCTAGACCTTGGGGCAACTAAGAGGAAGAAAAAGTTCAGAGTGGCAAGACACCAAGTTGCCAAAGGATGCAGGTCAGACGTTCTGTGAAATTTCTGCACATGCTGATTGTAGATAGGGGGATGGGGGATTTTAGTTTTATCTACTGTAATATTTAAAATGTTTGTTTTTTTATCGTAAAAAAAATTGTGATTTTAGAAATGTATCCATAACCCTTGATTTTTTTTCATGTTTCAGCTAGAGGTAGATCAATACAGATAGCAAAAGAGATATTTGGTCAATATTTGTGTTTTTGTCTCGAATCAGTATCGACTGATAAGTGCATGAGCTGACTGATTCATAAATGGATTCAGCAGCCACTCCTTGAGTTTATGTGAGGGACATGCATTGCTGCTCTCTCCATTTGTTTGCCTTTTTAAACTCAGTCTTGTTTCAACATTTGTTAACATTTGATCATTTTTATCATTTAAATGGAGGTATAAAAAAAGCAATATTGGCTCTAAAAATAGCCCCAAGATATTAAAATATCAACAGCATGTATTGGTAAGACTTTTTGGTTATACTGAAATACTTCCTTTAAAGAGGACTTTGGTGTTTTTAGTTCAGATATTACAACCTGAGACTGATGTGGAAACCAAATAACTGATTGTCAGGTTATTTGGTTTGAATCTTCACTCAAGTTTGTACAACTTGAGTGAAGTTTTAAAAGATATTCAGCTACATTAAAAGTCAAGCCCACTTTGTTAATCTTATGACTAGATGCACAGCTTGGCCTTCATTTGCCTCTACAGATTTTCAACTTTTTTCTCATCTGCTAATTTGGACTTTGAACCGATTTTAGTTTTGCCTAAATGTTTTCACATTTATTTCCTGCCCCTCCATGCATTTTTTTTTAAATAGACAATAATAGGAGATTAAGTCTATTTGAATTTGTCTAGTTGAATTGGGGTAAAATCATGTTAAAATTCAGTGTTGAATTATATAAGGACAAGGTTTATTTTAACATACTGTGCGAAAAGTTAAAAACAAAGGAAATTTTGGAAAAAAAAAAAAGAAACATCAGATATTTCCATATTTGATCTGCCAGCTGCTGAAATGTTGGCCTGTTTTGATGACAGGAATATTGAGTGGCTTCTCATCATCCTTCTCTTATCGTCATTTAGCAACAACACTTCATATGACGTAAAATACAATATCTCTGACTAACCAATCCATAATGAGCCTTTGAAACTTTACAGTGGAAGGGCAAAGTTTTCTGTTTATTTTCTTTTTGGTAGTAGATAAAGTCCACTTAAACACAGCAAAAGGTGAAAAGCTCTGGACAAATCAATTATAATGTTTCAGTTTGTCTCCTGTATTTGAAACAAAAACATTTAAATCTGAAAAACTCACACACAGAGAAAAAACGTAAAAAAAATTAGAAGAAATTTACTGATATAATTACTTTGTCTTTGGTGCTCAGACCTCGGCAGGAAACATGGTGCTGAATTTTGATAGATATGCATGAAGAGGAATAAAGAACAGGGCTGTTTCCCCCCCGGGCCTGAAACTGGTGGTAAAGTGGAGATAGATTTAGTTGGTCAGTCTATAGACTGCTGGTTAGTGAGACGGTCTGCTGAGCTTTATGGGGAGATCCAGTGAGTTGCGTGAGCTGATACTAGAGCTTCACTCAGGGACCTGGAAGATGGAAGTCCAGTTTAGATAACACAGGATGAGAGAACCTGTCCATGATGAGCAAGCATGAAGCGACATTGGAGAGGAAAAACTCTCCATTGGGAAGAAACCTCTGGCAGAACCAGGCTCAACATGGCGGCCTTCTGCCGGACTGGTTGAAATGAGATGCAGAATGCAGAAAGAGTCAGGGAGGTATTAAACTCTGATTAAGTTTTAGCTACGATGGTGGAGGAGGGGCTGGAGGTGGGTTGAAACGGGGTCATCTGAATAAAGTTACACAGCACAACCACCGACTGCGCACAGGAGCAGACAAGTTGCGGATCGGAGGCCTTTTAAGATGAGCTTTGGAAGCTGATTGGCTTTTGTGGAGGTGTGGTTCAAAGCTGATTGGCTGTGTCGTGGTGGATGTAGAAGAGCAGTTTTTTCAGTTCAACTTCCACCTAGGCTCCATATTATACTGGCCAACTTGCCAGTTTTAACGTAATACTGTGCAAAGCTTTTAAGATCTATTTATGAATATAGTAGCTTTAATTTATGTGGGTAAATTATTTTATCAAAAAAGGAAATATATTAAAAAGTGGACGGGTGTTTTTTATGGTGAGAGATTTTAAATATGTGTTTATTTTCCAGGAAAACGTGAGGAGTCTCTGAACAAATACAACTCAGCCCTTACTGAACTGCCTCCCACCAAGTGAGTTAGTACACATATCAACCTACCTTTCCGATCTAAAGGCCAATGTAACTGCCACTTCCGGCTAATATTGGTTTAGTTTGCTTTATCCAATTTGTCTAATCAAGTCTCCATTATAAGGACGATAAACGTCCCCCGGCTGCAAAGGCTGTTTTACCTAATTTCCTGCTTTTTACACAATCTGTACAAAAACAATATAAGAAAAAAAGAAACAAGCTCATTAGTCTTTTTTTTTATCTTGCTGTCAGGTCCCAGGATGGTTTTAACCTACTGCTGCGTCGCCATGGAGGTTCAAAGAGAAACTCTCTGCTTCGTTGGTGTCAGAGCCGAACACAAGGATACGAGGTGATTTTAAAAGAGTTTCTGTGTTTTTCTGGATTTCAAATACCGTAAACATAATTCAGGGCCACTAGAAGTAATTTTCAACAGGCGGTGCTGTGACATTTTTTTTAATCTTTTTTTTAGACAAAAGGCCTATGAGTCTTTATACCAGACCAGGAGAAAACTCTTCTCTTTAGATCTTTATGTCCACAAATCATGACAGAAAGAACATTTTAGTAGAAAGATTGATGTTTAAAAAGGAATGTAGGAGATCAGCCAAGGGCCCATAAAGGAAAGTGGGGAAATTTTGAATGGCTTCTACTGTAAGTTTCAGCAGAGTTACCCGACAGCAATCAGGAGTCAGGCAGGAGGTGGTGAATTTTGTTTTGAAAGAGAAATAAATTGGATAACAACGAATAATCAGTGCCAATAAGTGAATAGGAAGGAGAACTAAGTAAATTTATCATGTTATGTTATTACTGAATATGGCAGCTGTTGCAGAAAAGCTAGTTTCTTTAATAAAAAGAGGAGATTTGGCTGAAGAATGATATGAAAAATAAAATGAACAAAGGGAAATTAACTAAATATGATTAACTTCCTAATTTACCAACAGAAAACAATAATAAAAGATAGAGATGAAATCCAAAAAGTGAACCCAAACACCACATATTTATTCCTGTCTTACTAAGGTTTTAAATTATAACAAACCAGTACACATTTATTTTTTGTAAAAACTGCAGATTAGGGTTCATCCATTAAATTCAAGTCCCAATTAGAGGAAAAAAATGTAGGCCCTGTTGATTTAAAACAACATTGTTTTTTTTCTAATTGGGCAGTTTCTTATTTTCGGAGTTACGTTGCAGCCCTAAACTAAACTGACTTTTCTTTTTATGCAGAATATTGACATCACAAACTTCAGCAGCAGCTGGGCAGATGGCCTTGCTTTCTGCGCTGTTTACCACACCTACCTCCCATCGCACATCCCTTACAGCAGCCTCAGTCCTGAGAACAAGGTACCAAAAGCATCTCTTTATCATGCATAGACTCAGGCTATATTTCATGTTGATCTTATCAACTTTCCTCTTTTTTTAGCGAGCGAATCTCAGTTTGGCATTCAAAACAGGAGAGACTGTGGGGATTTCACCCACACTGGTAGGAATCATGTCTAAATTATGCGCACAAAGCAGATTTGATTCATGTTTAAATTTTGCATTTTTGTCCAACAGACAGCTGATGAGATGCTGCGAGCTGGGGGACCTGACTGGCAGCGGGTCCTGGGTTATGTGGAGAGCATCTACCGTCACTTTGAAATGTGACCACAGGAGATTCTGATCATAAAAACAAAGCAGACACTCTAGAAATTACACATTTTTGTAATGATACCTCCAGTCTTGCCAAGTTGTAGAAATAGTTGAAAGTTAATGGAAACTCTTGGCCTTTTGGTCCAGAGAAGACTAACCCTGAAAAGATCAAAACAAGGGTCTATAACTTGCATACACAAAAAAGTAGATGTGTATCACTGATCATTTGGAAATTCTGTTTGCTTTTATATTCCCCCCTGCAATTTTTTCCACTAATTGAAATGTCTTTAAACACATATTAACACAAATTCAACACACTGTAGTAAACAGATAGATGGAGGCAGAAGATGTCTTTCAGTCATCAATGAACACATTCAGCGACACACAGGTGCTCTTTCAAGCTGGGCACCATTTCATTCACAACACCTGTCCCATCAACCAGGAATCTGAATCAGAAATACTTTAATAATCCTGGGGAGACATTACTTTCGTTACATTACTCCATCTGTAATAGAGTGACTATAGGACCAGCTTGATATAACCCAATTTCATACCATATATATAATTAGGGGGTCCCTGCTCCATCTCGCCATCAGTTTGGGGGTCCTTGGCCTGGAAAATGTTGAAGAACCTTACTCTAAGGAGTACTTGTTCTCTTAATAGAGTTTAGGGAGGAACTACACAAAATTAGAGTATAAGGCTAAATCCCAAATTGGCCCCCAAACAATAACCTGCTGAGGGTCCACCATATTAAGGACTGTACAGAAGCCTGTATGGGAGGGTGAGTGGACCATTCAGCCCTTAAATAGCGATCAGTGCAGCCTCGCTGGAATTTGGCAGCAGTTGTAACGGCGAAGGAAAAAGTTGCATCCAAATGTAGGTTCCGCTGGTTTGCTGCATCTATGTCACACTAACAGAAAATCAAAAGTTAGGTATAAAGAAAAAACACATAATTCATCCCAAAAGGGAAGGTTCTCTTTGAAATGGTTTTATTTTACCGTACACATTTGCTATAAGAAAGCGGCAAATGTTTAATTTCATGTCAGCGTGCATCACAGAGCTACAGCAATGCACATGAGTAGTCACTTTGTTTCCATAGCAATGACTACTTTCTTTTTCCATTGGAGGGAAGAGGTTGTCCCATATCCCCCCACCTTCAGTCAAGTCACCTTCCATAGCTATGAGTGTGACTTCATTGGGAGGGACACTGGATAGTGACAGGCTAGTGCTTAGGGGCGGTTTGGGATTCAGCCAAAGTGTGACCAACAAAAGAAAAACAAAATACTTAGAGTATACCGAATAATAAAAGATTTTTATCTTTTTTAAAAAAAAAATGATGATCAAAGGGCATATTTCTTGGCTTTTAAAGATATTCTTTTTACTAGTATATTTATTTTCAAGTTCAGTAACCAAAAAGATAAACAAAAAAACGCAAGGCAATTAAGAAAAAAGCTGTTGAAAAGTGATGAAGCCATTTGTTGAAAAAATCTGATAATGGTCCGTCAAAGCAGAGAGCAGCAATTGGGAAGCCTTCAGTTCAACTCTAAGCTCCTAAAATTATTCTAATGGTTAAATGTGCCAACAACAAAAAAAAGTTTTTTATTTTTTTCAGAATGACTCATCTGCTTTGAAAACAGGTGGCGTTGTGATTTATTTTGTTTAATAATCTACATATGTGGGTTTTCGGACCAAGATTTAATGAATATGCTTTTAATATTCAGAAATGTTAAATATATTTTTGTCAAGCATTCTTTTGTGGAGAATGCTAGGTTACTGTGAGTGTCTCCACACTGGTACTTCACTGGTTCATATGTTCTTAATACTAGCCAACTCTGTAGGCATATACCTGTGAAAACGTAGCATTGGATGTGCGCTTCAAGATGTATTTGCTGTGTGTGACTAATCTGGGTTCTTTCAGAGGCTTTAGGTTTTTGCTTGTTCACAGGAAGTCATTCCTTTCCACTGTTGGAACATGCTTGCTCAAGATGAGAGATTGCTGCAATGGTAGCAACATATTGCAGTTTACCCTCCACCGTCTCCACGTTTGCTCAGGAAGAGTTTCTTTGAAGTTAATAACTTCATATAATTGCTGGGCTTCCTTACACAAATAACCTTTATCCAGTTTGTTTCCCATATGCATTGAACAAAACAAAACTTCAGTTAAATTAACATTTGTGGCACCTAACTTAAACCCATGTTTATGCATTGACTGATTTGTCTATATATTTGTGCATATAAATAGTATTTGTTCATCTTGTAAAGTGCCTTGCGATAACTTTTTGGAGGAAATTGTCACTTTAGGGATAAACTGTATCACACAGGATGAAACTGACTGAAATAATGGTTCTTAACTGGTCTAAAGTAACGATAAATTACAAATGTAACTTAAAGTAGAAAATGAGATCCCTGTGTGATAACACAGGGCTGCCAGATTCAGTTCACTGCTGTGAGATCTGAAATCCAAAAATGCCAACATAGAAAAGACAAATACTTGCCCTGACAAGCTTTTAAATCCAGTTTCAACACCATCTCACCTTTTTTCTGCTTTTTCATTTATTCAAAATTGCTGCCGTTCCTTCAAACCTCAGCTGAGTTTATTGCCAAAGTTTTTTTGTGTGTTGAAATCTGTTATACTTACTGTAAAATATGTCAATATGTAACTAGTGTGAAAAATATCCCAAAGCAATAAAGTGTTAAAGTATTGCTGTGAGTATTGAGTGATTTTGTGAAATCAACATTTAGCTACACCTACTGTTGCTTAAGAATGGAAAACTATCCATTTATGGTCTTTAAGGCTTTTCAACTGGAGCTGGGTGGACCTTTGTCTTTAAAAGGCAAACCTTTACTACCACCTGCTGGCAGAATTAATGTACTACTTCAAACTCTGGCATTCCCTGGTAAAAAAGCATTCACTCCACTGGTCAATAACTTCATCATGCTTGACTGTCAGCTCCTATTCTAATGCAGCTGTTATTGTGGCAACATCACCAAAATTTTATTTTTGAATTCAAAAAGTTTTTATTTAAAGAAAGTCATTAAGGACATTACCTATGTCCACTTTACTTGTTTTTATTTTAAGACTACAAAAATGTGTTTTATTGGGATTTTGTTTGATAGATTTGAAGAAGAATTCATGCATCATTGTGAAGCTAAGGGTAAACCATAATTTCTTTTTTTTATTTTAATAACAATTTGTAGAAGTAGATTGTAATTTTTCACAATCCCTTTACTCTGATTCAACAGAATGATATGCATCCAATTTTCTTCAGAGGATTTCACCTGAATCTAATTTAAACTCTGTCCAGTGAGGACAGATGTCTGTTAAAACTGTTTGCAAACAGTATCATGAAGACCAGGATACCAACCAGATAAAGTGGTGAAGTCATGTTTAAAGGGGTGATAGAATGATTCTATAGGGTATTTGGTGCTGGTCCTTAAGGTTTCTGAATAGGGTGTGTAACATTTGTTGGGCTGAAAAAGGCATATTTGCTGTTCTATGAGCCCTAATGCAAGCCTGGTTAAAAGCCCTAGAATGAAATGACAGGTTTTCTTCCTTTTATTGTATGTTCATGAATATTTAGATGAGCTGTGCGCTGATTGGTTGGTTTACAACGAGCAAAGCTGTTGAGCAATGACGCATCATAGCAACAAGCACTCACTCACTGAAATATCGAGGTAGTTGATATGGTAGGGTGCTTTTCCCCAGACATGTCCTTCTTTTCTTTTTTTTGTTTGAGTTTTTACAGCACTAGTGGCTCGTTTTTCAGACAGTAGGCTGACAGAAAAGGGGGTATGAGAGAGGGGGAGACACATGCAGCAAAGGACCACAGGCCGGATTTGAGCCCGGATCGTCCGTGTCAAGGACTAAGGCCTCCGTTGGGTTGTGCGCACTAACCACTGGGTCACCTGCACGTCCAGACACGTCCTACTTTTCATACCTAAAAAAATGTACAGGAGGAATTTCAAAATCGTCTGGTTCAGCACATAGTCGAAACACACCAGGCACTCGAACCAAGTTGTCAGCTCCGGGGCTGGTCCTGGAACCCCTGCGGACGGGGGCAGGGAGCCAGTGGGGGACAGAGCTACCGAACCCGACACGGTGATAGTAACCTGGACACCGGTGGCACCGTGCTGCTTCCCCTCGCCTGCTTTACTGGCCCACCAACCCCCCTCCTCTGGCTGAGGATGAGCGGCTCATGGTTCTCTGCTACGGTCCAAAAATAATCCATGCCTGTCAGATCTTCGGATCCTTGGGAAAAACTGAAAATGTTCCACTTTCTCCGTGCAGCCTGGAACACTGCATTTACGCCCTTTGTTCTGGCTCATTTTCAATAGAGAAACTGCCTGCTTTGTAATTCTCGTAGAAGTAAACCAAACTGTAGGTTAAACCGCTAAACTGGTCCCTTACATCTAACTCTGTTCATGTTCTTGGGCCATTGAACCAGTGGGCTGGTCTGTAGGTCAATTTCGGGGCGTGACAAAAGTAAAGGCCAGAACCAAATAAGAAAACATCCCAGAGTTTACGTCCATTTTGAATTCATCTATGACAATGTAAACTCGGTTTTGCATTCTATGACCCTTTTAAAACAGAGGTCACCAACCTTTTTAAGGCTGAGGGCCACTTCAAGGCTACCAAGACGTAGAAAGGGCGACCATTACTGACCCATGAGCTGCAAGGGTTAGCGTTAGCCTAAACTTTGTTCATTATCAACATATTTTTATTGTTTCTGTTAGTTTCTAAGTTTATTTAGACATTGTCATTTTGAAATCTCTATAAATGATTAAAAAGAAGAGCAACAGAATAAAATAAAATTTCAAACTTAGCCCACTGGTGGGTTGTTCTTTATTTAGAAGACTCTGAGGGCCCCCCATGTCGTCCTTGAAGGCACCTTGGTGCCCACAGGCACCACGTTGGTGACCCCTGCCCTAAACAGCAGCAAATAGGAAGATGGTAGCTCTGAGGGAGCTGCTGAGATCTACGGCTCAGAAGGGAGAGTAGCTCAACAGCCATGCACTTCATAGATTTGGCCTTTGTGGACTAAAACCAAGGAGGATTGTTGACTAAAGGCAAAAGTCCAGTTTTGAGTTCCCCATTGCCAAGACGGGGCATTCCAATAACGATGGTGCTGCTGTTGAATGAGACCTCTATCAAATTCTGGCCTACCTGGAAAATGCGATATGTGGCTGAAAATAGAAGCTGCAGATTGTCATGAATTCATTACTATGAAACATGGTGGCATCATCATGCTGTGAGGATGATTTACCTCTGCTAGGAAAAAGAACTGAATTGATAGCAATACTGCTTAATATTGGGCAATACCACATTTCATTGTTTTATATTAAATTATGTATATTTTTTATTCAACATAACAATTATTTACAAATTTTGATCTTGAAGAGTCTCAACATGATACCATGAAGCTCATAGCTTTATAAGGGACAAAAGAGAGGTGAGTTTGTGGTGACATAAATATTTACTATATCCAGACATAACTCACCAAAAGAAGGTGTCGTGACACATATCTTGTAGAAAGCTGTGTGTTTTAATACATTCAAGGTGTCTGACATGGATTATTCATGAAGTAAGGTTTAGGCAACAGTATGAATGGCCAGAAACATGAGACATGTCCCTCTGGGCAAAGGAACTAACAATATGAGGACATCCCGCTCTGCCTGTCAGTTTGTCAAAGAATCGTTGTGCAACAACATGAGTGTGACTTGTGGTGAGCGTTGGGGCAGGTGTTGAAGCGGTGTCCCTCGGAAGGTCAGACGGGTTTTCTTAAACACAGTTAGCGAAAGAGAAACTGAAGTTGAAATTGTAAATGAGATCGACATCGGCAACATGAAAAGAATCTGGACCCTCCTTCTATCTTTTGCTGTTTCTGGCTTCACCCAAGATACACACAAGTGAGTAGCTTTGTTGATTCTGAATTCAGTTTTATTGCCATCAAAGTCAGCATGTTTCATAAATACATTTTTCTTCTTTCAGTTTTGGTTCACCACTGTTTTTGATCTCTGGTCCAGAGGTCCTCCATGCTGGTGTACCAACTTCCTTTGCTGTCACGGTTTTTACCGACTTCCCTGGTAATTTCACAGCTGAGTTGGCACATGGAAACACTACCGTAACCAAAACAGAGGACTTCCAAGGAGGTGACACTACAGTTTTACAAACTCAAGTTTGCATTGTCTATAACTTTTTTAAATGAGAAGTGAAAACTAAAATTGTGTCTCGTTGAAGGTGCCACCTTTGTCCTCATACTTCCACCTGTGAGGGTTACTTTTTACTTTATTTTATTTCATTCCCCAAGTCAAAATAAGCAAAATCCTCTAAATGATAAGTTTGATTTTGTTTTTCTGAACAATTTTACAGTTTCCTGGCTCCTTACCACAAAATTCGCTATTAAACTTAACAGTGTGGGGTTACAGGGAGAATCGCCTCATTTTTACAAACACTACTACCCTCCTCTTCAACCTGCGGACGGTAACCTCCTTCATACAAACTGACAGATCAAGCTATGAGCTGGGGGACACTGTCAAAGTCAGGGTGGTCTCTTTCCATCTGGATAATAAACCATACACAGGCAAAGTGGGAATTTCACTACTGGTAAGTTTTCCGATCTCCAGAAAAAAACCCCAGTTTTCAGTCAGGTGGGAAGCTTGTGGAATGTTCCTTTGTCCCATAGGATCCCAGGGGGAAACCTGTTGATGACTGGAGCTCCTCGGGGAATTTCGGGATTGTCTTCAAAGAATTTACTTTACCCCAGTCCTCTCATCTCGGCCAGTGGGTGATCACAACAACAGTGAATGTAGGCTTGAAAGACTCAATTGATTTAGACAACTTTTATTGTCATTTTGTAAACACAGAGTGTACACAAAACAAAATTTACTTAAGTGCAGCTTTTCAGACCGTATATGAACATTTCCTTTCCATAAAGTGCAGCTGTGATTAAATGAAAACAGTGTGGGAGAAAAAATATGATGCAATAAAAACACATTATTATGGTATGGAAGTTCTGAGCATTAATATATATGGTGCAAATATGCAGTATATTTGTTTGGTGTTATTAATGTGATGCAGAGTCTGACAGGATTTATATATATATATATATTTTTTTTTCAACAGTTCAGCAGTTAAGAAATTAAGTCTTTTTTTTAGCTTTACTCTACTGCATTAAAGTATTGTGCTCAAAAATAAAAAAAATTGCCCTTTTTCATGCTTACAGGGAATAACGGATGAGAAGTCCTTCGTTGTTGAGCATCACGGTAATGACTCTTCCTATTACAATATTACTTGTTAAAATCACCAATTATACTTTTGACAACATTCAAAGGGTTTTTTAATCAATTTAATTTAACTTATTTTAGTTTTTTAACTTTTTAACTAACCTACATTATTGATTGTAAAATGAAGAAAGGCAACATTGTGCAATTTCTGCATCAACTAGTGGAAAGCAGAGGAGAGACAATGTTAGAATGTCATCATGTTTTTAAATGTAACTTATTTTGGATTTATGACACACAATTGCTGAGAAAAACAACAGAAATGAAAAGTTAAATACAGATTTAAACATTGATCTGACTGCTATTTTTACATTATTATAATGGCAATACCATTAGTTTCAGAACTTTCAATGATGAAAATGTAGAATAATTTTAGTTTCAACATAGAGAACATGTTTACCCATTCAAAAGAATATTTTCAACAAACACAGGTGAGCACATCTGTTAAAAACAGTGAACATATCAGACGTGTAACTTTCCTAATCTCATGTCTGACAGATGCGCAGCCTCGTCCATTTGATGTGATGGTAAAAACATCCTCTCGAGTCCTTCTTGGTGATAACATCTCTGGATCAGTGAGAGCACTGTGAGTTTATTTGGAACAAATATTGTTATGTCATCGGTTGCTCTTTAAACTCTGTTTCAGCATCAGCTTGAGGTTCCTTCCCAGTGTTTTTTGCACTACATTCTGTTAGAATTGTCTTAGAAGCTGTCGGTTCTGTTCATACTGAATCTAGGCAGCACGGAAGCAGGCTTTTTCTGCATATCACAGTTTCTAAAATGACAGTATTTGTTGCATTATCTGACAATGATCAGGTTAGCTGTGGTGTTTAAGCAATACTCAGCTTGTATGAAAGGACTCAAAGTGGGCCTAGAAAAACACCCTCATCCACTAACACCACCAAGAGCCTCTGTAGTTTACACAAGGCTGGTTTGGATCCATGTTTTAATGTTGTTTACCTAAAGTTATGTATTCGGCAATCTGAATATTGTGAAACTTAGACATGCTACTGTATGCTGGGCGATGTTTGTTTAATCTTCCCTGCTTTGGAGAAATAAAAAGTGAATCCAGTAGAACTTTTTATTACCTACCTGGAATTGGTGACAATAGTTGAATAAACTTTTGGCTCTCAAAATGATATATGTGCCCTATTTGTTGGTACTCGCCAATACAGATACCACCATTTTAGAGCTGGATCGGGGCCCCGCCTGATACTGGTATCGGTATCGGTGCAACACTAGTATTTACCCTTAATTTAAGCTGGTAAATAAGATGATCTGCAAATGGAATGAGTATTTTACTCTTAAAGTAAGATAGTTAGATAACATGCGCTTGAAATAAGACAATGCAATTGTGTTTTCTTATTTTAAGTGTAAATTATCTTGTTCCATTGTCAAAATGTATCTTTTACCTCCTCAATCTAAAAACAAATGCACTTATTTTAAGAAAAAATGACTGATCTAGATTTAAATTTTTTCCAGTGTAGATATATGCTGTCTGGTTATATCTGAAAGACTCCTAGATGATGGCTGCAGAGACTCATAACTTATACAGAGAAAAGACAAAGAAACAACGCTAAAAAGACCAGGAATTCTATGTTTGTCATCTTTATTGTTAGTATGTTGATGTGAACAATTAACTACTATATTGTTGTCGTCATTGTATGGTCAATCTAGTAAAACATAACATGTCTAATTAGTTCTGACGTTCTGCTATAGAGTATCACTGCTGCCATCCTCTGTTCTAAAGGGGAACTGCTTTTGTCTGAGGTGGTGAATTACATCCACACGCGAACAACAAGTCACCTGGAAGTGGGGGCCACAGGGGCCATACTGTAGCTCCACCCTCAACATAGTGTTCCACATACTAACAGGTTGCTTGGACTACCTGTGCCGTGCTTTTTACACAAATCCATCTACCTGTTCTCTGATATTAACAAGGAATCTTCATAAGCCTTTTGCATATCAGAAATTAAATTGTAACATGGTTGTGCTTAAACTCCCAGTACAAATTCCATATAAATGCACCTAACTACCCTTTTTTTTCTCCATTTTCATGTTTGTTTTTCACTTAAAACATGTTTTTTTCTGTGTATCCATGTCTTAATACACAGATTTGCTCCAGTGTGATTGGCTTATTCCTCACTTATGTAGGGAATAAGCCAATCACAAGCAATTGAATGAGTGCTCCTAATAAGTGATTTTTTTTTATTTTAGCTATCCTGATGGACAACCTGTTCGTGGCACATTAGTTGTAACCCTAAAGCCTTTTATAAGCAACATAACTTCTCCATCTCAGCAGACCCAAACCAAGCAGGTGTGATTTTAACTGATTATCATCTATGCAAAGTTAAATGTAAACCAATGGAAGTTCAGAAAATGATATATTTACTGCACCCCTTTCAGATCTATGGGTCAGCACAGTTTTTCTTCAGCAGAGATCACCTTCAGTCTCTGTACTCCTCCTCAGCAACTAGCAATAGAAGTCATGTTTTATACATTGCTGCCCAGATCAATGATAACTCCACAGGTACATTTCGTTTTAAGCTTTCATTTTAATACAATTCTGTTGCATTAATACAGCATTTTTGTTTCTGTTGCTGTGGCTGCAGGACATACCGTGAACAAAACCATGGAAGTCCATATATTGCAAAACAAATTCCAGCTCATGTTTCTCAACTTCCCATCAACTTTAAAGCCATCCCTAAACTTCTCAGCAAATGTAAGTTGACTCATTTCTGAAATTACATATCATCACTGTTTAAACTGTTGTAGGGGGTGTAGGCCTAGTGGTTAGAGCAGTGCGCTTGTACTGTGAGAAAGTTGCCTGTACCCGGTTCGATCCGCAACACCTTCACTCTGGGTTCCTGAGCAAAAACCTTAACCCCACTCTACTCCCTGGGTGCCAAAAAATGACAGCCCACTGCTTCCCAAGGCAATGGGTCAAAATGCAGAGAGTTAATTTCCCCAATGTGGAACAATAAAGGAATTTATTAAAATTAGTATTTGAAACCCCTGCATATTATTCTTCCCTTGCATTCCTCAGCTTCGGATTGTCAGATATGACAGAAAGTCTCTCAGCTCATTGGATTTGAAGAACTCTGCTGTGGTTCAGGTCACACAGAAAACCTCTTCAATAAACTCAACAACTATGAGTCTAACTCTGCCTGTGCCGGAGAATGGCAATGTACTCATCCAGTTTAAATTACAAGATCGAGTAGAGATGCTCTACTTACAGGTGAGTACTATAAGTCATAGTTCATAAAACTGGGCCAAACAGGAAAATTTATATTTTGCCATTTTTAATGCTTCAGATTCTGAAAACGATGTTCGTCAGCTAAAAGAGCAGATAAATTTAACTTCCTTGCTACCGTTATCCTCAGGCTCAATTCCAGTCCATTGTGGAGACCCTGACGGTGTACACCAACTACTCCTCTCCTACTGGCTCATATGTTCAAATCAGCTCTGTCAACAGATTTCCCACACAGGTCATTTAAACACATTTTGTACTATTGATGCCTTAACATTACATCAGAGATTATATTTTTTTGGTTTATCTCATTAACTCTCAGGTTGGATTGCCACTTCGGCTTAATGTGGAGAGTACCATCAAACCGGAGAAACTCCATTTTGTGGTATGATGAAACTTGTCAAATATTGCATTAAGTACACCAAATCAACCTATTTATTTAATGGTAATAGCATGTAATCACACATACAGTGAAGTGCAAAAGTGTTTATACCTATTGGACTTTTCTTAAGGTTTCCATTAATACCATTACGAATGCACTGGTGAGACAAATTACTTGCACTTATTCAATTATATTACGATAATTTCAAACCTTACATTTCTTGTCTTCCCATTAAGCTAATACCCTAGTTTTATATCAACTATTTGACTGTAGCTCTGGCTTTATAAAAATGGTCACTATATAGCAGGAAAGTTAACCTTCTCTGTAGACCAAAACTTTGTGCTTTGGTAATACAATGTGTTTTGAGCTTAAGAGTTATCTGAAGAGACCATATTCTTCCTTCAATATTTCTCCTCCAAAGAAGAGTGTCTCTGCAGAAGTAATCGTCCACCTGAGCAGCGCATCTTTGCAGCTCCTCATTACTTACCATGGCTCTACTAGCTTCTCCTCTGATCAATGCTATCGTTTTATTTTAGCTTGTAAGACAAGCCTGTAAAGCCTTTATATAACTGCTGCATTTATAGTGATTTCTAATATACATTACAGAAATGCCTGTATTTCCCTGTTTCAATAGATTTTTGATGTTTTTGGGTATTGTATTCAATTCACCTAAAACTGCTCATTTTGGTTTGTAAGAAATGTTTAAAACCATGTATATTCTATTTCAAAAGAATATTTATGTGATACTGTTAGTTGGATATTATAAGAAATCCCGATAAAATACATAAAAATTTTAGAATTTTAGTAGAAAATAGTCAGAATGTGAAACTGGGGTGTCAATTCTTTAGCCAGGCACTGTGCGTTTTGAACTGGGAACAAAGAAGTCAGGATAGTTTGTGATTGGTTCCATGAAATATGATGCCTCTTTTATCTTGTTGTAATTCTAGGTGTTCTCTAAAGGTCAGATGGTAGCTGCTGGGACTAAAAGCTTTTCTTCGTCCATTGCTCTCACGCCAGAGCTTTCCTGGTACCCTGAGGCCTGTGTCATGGTCTACTATAACACCTCAGATGGGGAAATTACCAGTGACACAACCTACATTTCTATCCAACAGTACAACCATGTGTGAAAATATGTTCCTTTAATATTATTATTATTTAAGTAAAATACAAAACAGTACTCTTTCTCAAAGTGCTGGTGATGGAATGTTTACTTCGTTTTCCCAGGTAACCCTAAACTGGAGCAGTAAGTGGGCTAAACCAGGTGAGCAGGTATCGCTGACTGTGGCTGCCAGTGAATCCAGGTTTCAAGTAGGAATAACAGTCACAGCGATGGAAAATGATGCCCTGCAGTCTGATCTGGATCAAAGAGCTGAAAAGGTAGAAGGACACTTTCGCATTAAATAAAATGTTAAAAATAGTTTAATGCTGGGGTCAAATCCAAGAAGTAACATTGAGGCCATTTCAAATTGTTGAGTGGACAAAAAGAGAAATCTGAAATCTGACCTAGTTTCAAACTTTCTGATTAAGTTACTTTCACAGTGTTTGCTTAAGGCTTTTTTCATTTTGATTACAAAGAATTGTCTCTAGTTATCCCAGCCCTTTGTAATACTGTTACTCCAAGATAATGTAGAGGGATCGCCAGAGCAGCTCATCTGAATGTAATATATCTGACTGCTTTGTTGGGAGGTGACTTCTTGTTCTGGCAGATGGAAACTGTTCCGTTTTTTTGCTTCAGAGCCTGAATGGGATTAATAGCACCATATAAAGAAAACAAAGGTATCTGGTGACCTGTATGGTGTGAAGAATAAATTATTAAATAAAAAAAAGTTTGGTGATTGTAACCCAGAGATCGCGTGTATTTCATAAGCATTGACACAAGCAATGCAGAAACAACTTTAGGGTTGAATAGTGTTAAGCTGTTAAGAAGTTAGTATTTTTATGCAGCAGGTTGCAGACAGGACAATCCAGTTGTTAAAAGTCTCAGGAAAGCGTCTATATTCTAATAGCATGACCAGTTCAAAAGCACTTTAAGTCACTTCAAAGCATTCTATAGTAAAGTATAACTTCTGTAATAAACAGTTCAACTTGCTCATATGGTGATACCTTCATCTCCTGAGAAAAGGACACAAAAACATTGCTTTTATTATCATCCAGCTACAGTAGTTATTGTTTTGAGGAGCTCTGGAATCCTAAACATACTCCCCATCAACAGTGGAATTATTTGGTTCCACTGTGTTTGAGGCTCCTATCATTCTGTTCCTGTGCTGATTCAGATGAACTTTGATTTTTGATGTCTCTAATACATGCTGTGTTGTAGATCATAAATCTGAACCATTCTTGGTTACAATAGAACATACACTGCAGTAGTAAGGATCTATGAGGAATTCACAGAAGCACTGTTCTTAAGTTCATATGAATGAAATAAATTGATATCATTTCAAAGAACTTTGCTTCTCGTGATGAACTTATTTCTCAGCTATTGCTGTGCAGACCTTAAGTCATTTGGAATCCGTGGCAGAAGCCTGATTTGAAGCAATTATTCTCAGCAACTTAAACCATTGTGTGATTTAGAAAATTCTGGTGTTAATGTAAAAATAATTTCTCATGCAAAAGTAATAACCCATGACACTGTTCACGCTGACCACTCTTAGTTAACGTTTTCAATAACACTATTTAACTGTCAGTTGCCCACCATTGGATACTAGAGGCCTAGATCCAATAGGTTCTAGCTGAAGCTAACTGTTACGGGGTCGATAAAAACAACTAGTGCATGAGCGTATAAATTGGCTTAAACCACCAAAAAAAAACAAATTGGTTTATGTAACTAACACCTGCTGATATAAGGTATTTTTTGCTGTTGGTGGAGAATAAAAACATTTTTAGAAATCTAAACCAAATAGTTTTTTCTGGGCTGTTTGCTGGTAGAGAGAGAAAAAAAGGACAGCCACCAGCGAAGGGCAATGGTTTTACTCAAGTCCCTCTAGTGGCAAAGTAAAGTATTACAAAGACTTAAAATCAATTTATTTATTTTTTTTTCAATTGCCTTTCAAGGCAGGAAAAAAAAATAGAACTTTTCTTATTTTGATTTTTTCTCACTTACCCTTCAGGGCTTGCATACGTTTTTATAGTTTTAGATACATTGTCGTAAAAGGTAAGGTTAGTAATATTTGTTAGTTCTTGCAGAGATGTAATCCGAAGACGGTGACCAATGCAAGATTGTTTATGAAAAGCCAAACAGATGCTGCTAAAACTGGTAAGAATTGATCTACATACATACTAAAGTTATTTACAATAGACATTTGATTACATATTTAAAATTCTTTCTCATAGACAGGATGTCATTTTCATTTCTTCTCTCTGGTCTTGCTTCCTGAAGGTGCACATAAAAACAACGGGTTAATTTTACAATACTGGAGGCACTGGGCGGAGTTTGCTGAATCTCTGCTATGGTTGGACAGAAATGTCAGGTAAGTGCTTAACAGGACTCATAGGAGCAGAGAATGTGGTACAAAAACAACAGTACAGGTAATGTTATTATGTCTTTTAGTGATAAAAGCTGGACCACTGGGAAAATAACAGTACCTGATGGTATCAGCTCTTTAGGAGCTGTAGCACTGCTAATGTCAGAAAACTTTGGTTTGGGTTTCACTCCTGTCCCAGAAAAGGTAATAAAAAAACAAATTTCATCATTTGTACCTGAGTTCACCCAAGTTCAATTCTATTAATTCTTCTGTTTGTGTCATTGGTCCGAACACTCGTAGCTGACCATATCCAAAGATTTCTCTCTGTCCCTTGTTGCACCCTCACAAATCATCATAGGGGAGGACTTTGTGCTGGAAGTAAATGTCATCAACCATTTAGAGCAAGACATTGAGGTAGGCTGAAAGCATTTTTGGAGCCATGGACACGTATTTTTTATATCTTTGACAGACCAATCCAAGAAAACAAGCCTGAGTTTAGTGTCTGTTGGTTGCGTTTCTTTTTTTTTTAATGCTGTATCTTTTTCTTGTAGGTGATTGTGTTGGTAGCACAGAGTGAGGCTTTTCAGTTTCCTCTAATGGAGCGCAGGGGAGCATCCGTCATAAATGCCCAACCACTTACCCTGAGGAGTCATAAGTCTGCCTCAGTCTTATTCCCTATCAGGGCCGTGGTTGTTGGCGAGATAGAAGTATCTGTGGACGCTGTGTCTGCAGAGTCTTCAGATAGTCTTGTTAGAACAATATTGGTGAAGGTACGACTTGTGAAAGCGAAAGGCTGCAAAGAACAAACATTTTTCTGTTTACTATTGATGCAAAAGTAAAAGTTACAATGTGGCATTTCATCAGTCCAATGAAAACCATAAACTGTGTATAATCCTATAGAATAGAGGAGTTGAACAGACCTTCTCTCACACTCTGTTCCTGGAAGTGGCACCAAGGCATCTGAACTCTTCTACGTCCGTTTCCTTCTCTTTTCCACCTAATCTAGTACCAGGAAGCCAGAGGGCTCATATAGCACTAGTTGGTAAGTCTATAATTAGTTCTGTGTACATTCAACAGTTCTTCATTATAGTTAGAGTTGAATAAGTAGAATTGTTATGATAATCTAATTTTGTCCCCTAATCCAGTTGGAATTTTTCCAAAATCAACATAACTCAACGCCCTTGGCAGATATAAAACACTCGAAATGGAAGGGCAAGGCTCAGGCTCTTCATCAAAATACATAAGAAATCTATTATACGAATCTATGAACTCTACAAAACATAAATAAAGCTAAACTTGATACAGGACATTGTGTTTAGGAGTACTTTGCAGCAAAACGACTTACTAAGAAAACAAAACTACACTAGAATTTATACTAAGAATAAACAAATAGCAGGTGGTCTGAATCCTCAACTCTGTCTTCCTGTTCTCCTTCATCGCTTTTCTTCTTTGTTTCCCTTTAACTGCAATGTTCACCACTTATGTTTTCAGCATTCTCCCCATTTTCACTCTTTCTTCAGCATTTGCATTTTTAGGGGCCTTTTGTTGTTTTTTTTACCTTCTTCCAGGTTTTTCATTCTTCCCTCTTCAAATCTCACAGCCTTTGCTTACTTCTCATCACTCACTTTTCTCCAAAGTAACTAAAAATGTCTTCACTTTAAATAAATAATGTTTAATTTTAATGCTGTAAGGGGATACAGCATTAAATATTTTAGTGACATTAAAGTAGGGAGGCCAGGCTCTACAGCAGAGAGGAAGTGTTTTGTCAACTGTTTTGTCATGACCCTGACACAGTTCCAGATGTTTGATCAAGCTGAAATTTTGCATGTGACATTATTCCAATCTCTATAGATTAAGTATCAAATTGCAGCCCCGAACGTTTTGTGGTTTCTGACTTGCAGGTGTTTGAACTGAGTAAAGTCTGAAATGGAGCCTATTGAGTGTCAAGCAGTCATCTGGTTTTTCTATTGGAAAGGACTCACACCTCTTTGATGAAATTAAAGTAACTTATGGTGATGATGCCTGTTATATGACCTTGCAAAATGTTTTACAAGGTTATTATGGGACATTATCAATATAAGTTACTTTCATTTGATCAAAAGTGTCCCATTGTATGCGTCCTTTCAAATGCAAAAACTCAGACTTGACTCGGTTTGAACACCAGTAAATCAGAAACCACAATTAGTTCAGAGCTGTAATTTGCTATTTAATCTATAGAGATTTAAAATACTTCACATGCAAAATTTCAGCTCAATCAAACATCTGGAAGTGGGCCAGGGGCATTGAACGGCCCTCGTATATATATACATACATATACATACATATATATATATATACGAGGGCCCTCAAATATATATAGAACGGCCCTCGTATATATATACATACATATACATACATATATATATATATACGAGGGCCGTTCAATGCCCCTGGCCCACTTCCAGATGTTTGATTGAGCTGAAATTTTGCATGTGAAGTATTTTAAATCTCTATAGATTAAATAGCAAATTACAGCTCTGAACTAATTGTGGTTTCTGATTTACTGGTGTTCAAACCGAGTCAAGTCTGAGTTTTTGCATTTGAAAGGACGCACACAACGGGACACTTTTGATCAAATGAAAGTAACTTATATTGATAATGTCCCATAATAACCTTGTAAAACATTTTGCAAGGTCATATAACAGGCATCATCACCATAAGTTACTTTAATTTCATCAAAGAGGTGTGAGTCCTTTCCAATAGAAAAACCAGATGACTGCTTGACACTCAATAGGCTCCATTTCAGACTTTACTCAGTTCAAACACCTGCAAGTCAGAAACCACAAAAAGTTCGGAGCTGCAATTTGATACTTAATCTATAGAGATTGGAATAATGTCACATGCAAAATTTCAGCTTGATCAAACATCTGGAACTGTGTCAGGGTCATGAC